AGTATTGTACACAGGAGGGCTGTTACCCTTCCCTTTATAGTTATGACACCCCACAAGTGTGATCTGGTGTGAGAGGTGCTACCTTAACCCTACATTTCCCTGTTGAGTGTTTGTGTTTCTGTTTTGCTGAGTGTATTTCCTGGCTTTCAGTTGTATCATCATTCTGCTGTTCACTTTTTTCTTCTGGAAGGCTACAAGGCACTGCCAAGCAACCCAAACTCCCCTTGTGATGGTTTGGATCACAGAAACCCCCTTGGGAACTGCCAACTGATGTGCCAAGTCTACTTCTGCCCCTGCTTTCCTGTCCTGTCAGTTTAGGACTCCAGCTCCCTGCCTGGTTTGAGCCAGACCCGCTAGCCTGCTGCAAACCCAGACCCAGGGTCTGAACCACGTGCCCCAGCTGCAGGCTTAACTGAAAGCAGCTTACAGAAGTGTTCTTCTCTCTAACACTCAGATGCCCAATTCCCAATGGGGTCTAAACCCAAATAAATTCATTTTACCCTGTATAAAGCTTATACAGGGTAAACTCATAAATTATTCGCCCTCTATAACACTGATAGAGAGATATGCACAGCTGTTTGCCCTTCCAAGTATTAATACATACTCTGGGTTAATTAATAAGTAAAAAGTGATTTTATTAAATACAGAAAGTAGGATTTAAGTGGTTCCAAGTAGTAACAGACAGAACAAAGTGAATTACCAAGTAAAATAAAATAAAACACGCAAGTCCATGTCTAATACAGTAAGAAACTGAATACAGATAAGATCTCACCCTCAGAGATTTTTCAATATGTTTCTTTCATAGACTGGATGCCTTCCTAGATTGGGCACAGTCCTTTCCCCTGGTACAGCTCTTGTTCCAGCTCAGGTAGTAGCTAGGGGATTCCTCATGATGGCTGCTCCACTTTGTTCTGTTCCACCCATTTATATATCTTTTGCATAAGGTGGGAATCCTTTGTCCCTCTGGGTTCCCACCCGCCCCCTTCTCAATGGAAAAGCACTAGTTTAAAGATGGATTCCAGTTCAAGTGACATGATCACATGTCACTGTAAGACTTCATTGCCCATTTGCAAGCACATATGTATACAGGAAGACTTACAGGTAAAACAGAGCCATCTGCAGTCAATTGTCCTGGTTAATGGGAGTCATCAAGCTTCCAAACCAAATGGCCCACACTTTGCATAATTACAATAGGTCCCCAGAGTTATATTTCATATTCCTAGTTTCAGATACAAGAGTGGTACATTTATACAAATAGGATGATCACACTCAGGAGATTATAAGCTTTGTAATGATACCTTACAAGAGACCTTTTGCATGAAGCATATTCCAGTTACATTAGCATATTTTTATAAAATCATATAGAGTGCAACATCACACCCCTATAACAAGGTTTTTTTATTTGTGAATTAATTTAATGTTTGTCTTCACATACATAGACACTGGTTTTGATGAACTAGTGCAAAGCTCTGTGTGCACACTCCTAAAAGAGTTTGGAAAGGGCTTATATTGCTTTAGCTTGAGTCAATTCCTTCTTGATTTAAGAGTGTCGACACAGGGATTTGCACTTGATTAACTAAACCAGTTTAATTAAACTGGAACAAATTTGTGCATAGAATGGCCCTGACATTAATATTAATTTTACTATCAAATATGAATCTGACCAGATTAACTGACCAACCACACTCATGGACTCACATTTGATTATTAGTTTTACAGGAAATGGCTTTTGATAACAGTGTAATAAAGCTTTTGGCTCATTACTGGGCACTGCAGGATTATCACAAGTTCATTTATTTCTTCTGTAGGTTTGGGCTCTGATCCTGACATCTCAGTGGAGGGACATCAGGATGGAGGGATCCGTGTGGTGTGTCGATCATCCAGATGGTACCCAGAGCCCGAGGCTCAGTGGAGAGATCACCAGGGGCAGATCTTACCATCAGCCTCTAAAGAAATAACCCCAGAGGCCAATGGCCTGTTTCAAACAGAGATTGCCATTGTTATAACAGAAGAGTCTAACGAGAAACTGTCCTGCTGTGTCAGGAATCCCCGACTCGACCAGGAGAGAGAGTCAGCGATTTCCCTGGCAGGTCAGTGCCCGTCCATGCTGCACATGGATAGACCGAGATGCTGCAGACATGAGCGGAGAGTATTTATCACTGTGCCTCCTATGTATTGGCCTGGACCTTCAAGGTGCTGAGCACATCTTGGAAAGTCCTGAGCAACCTCAGTTCTCTTTGGATATGTCTACACTGCAGTTAGACACCTGTTGGTGGCCCGTGCCAGCTGGCTCAGGCTAAGGGACTCGGGCTAAGGGGCTGTTAAATGGCAGTGCAGCCATTCAGGCTTGGGCTGGAGACCAGGCTCAAGGAACCCGTGAGGGTCCCAGAGCTCAAGCTTCAGCCTAAGTCCATCTACACTGCCATTAAACAGCCCCCTAGTCTGAGCTAAGCACACATGAGTTAGTTGGCACGGGCCAGCTGCGGGTGTCTAATTGCAATATAGACATAAACTTTGACTCTAGTAGGAGCTGAGGGTGTTTAGCACCTTGCAGGCTGGGACACCATTGGCCACATTTTCATAATAGCTCAGTACCCAGCTGTGATTGGTCAGACCACCTTGGGATGCCACCTGATGTGTTGGGATGCCACTGAGTCAGTCTATTCTACCGGCCTGGGTCCCCTTTACCTGGTCTTCCTTGGCCAGGCTCACAAGCCTCTTCCAGCCAAGCACACAGGCAGGACCACGTCCTGCTGCAGAACAATACAGACACTGAGATCAGCTCTGGGAAGACTCAGCTTAAGGGACTTGCCACAGCCCCAGGTGTTTATCTCTCTTGTAGTGCAAACACAAACTTATATGAAATTCGCCACTTCCCTCAATGTGGAGGAAGGTATGCACAACCCCCCCACCCCCCAGTTAGAAATTATATAAACTGGGTTATATTATAAATAAGAAATATGTTTACAAACTACAAAAGATGGATTTTAAAAGGTTAAAGAGGTAGCAAACAGAAGAAAGCAGATTACTAAGAAAATGAAACAAAGCACACAAATTAAGCTAGATTCACTAAAGAAAATGGTTACATATAGCAATTCCCCACCCTAGATAGTGGTCGGTCTTAGGTAGATTCCTTCACAGGCCAGATATCTTTCAAGCCTGGGTCAAGCAGTTCTTGTTTCCAGATGTTTTTCAGTGTCTATTTGGGTGGGGAGGCAGAGGAGAAATGAACTGAAACCCTTGATTGTTTCCATCCCCCACCTTATATAGGATTGCCATAAGCTGGGAATCCTTTGTTTGATTCCCCCAACTCTTAATGGAAAAGTTCAGCGGTCCAAAATGGAGGTTAGTATCGGGTGACCAGGTCACCTGATTCTGTAGCATCACAGAATCCATGAGTTAGTGGTACTATGGAGCGTCCGCAGGAAAGCCAAGCCTTTTCACAGTCCATTGTCCTCACTGATGGGTCATCAGCCCTGTCTGGCTTTTCCATTGTTGTACCTGAAGTGTTAGCAGTGGGTGTCACCCAAAGTAGTATAGTTGAAATACAGATACATAGTCAATATTCCTAACTTCAGATACAAAAATAATGCATGGATACAAATAGGATAATCACATTCAGTAAATCACAACCTTTCAAATGATACCTTACTTGCATAACATACATCTCAGTTATGTCATATCCATATCATAAGTGTATTTTCATAAAGAATATGGAGTGCAATGTCACACCAGCAATCATCATTCTTCTCAGTAGGGATGGGGGAGGGAATTCTCCTTTGTTCTTGTGGTGTAGTGAGGACTGTGTTGGAATTGCAAGTTGTCACTTTAAGAGAGGGGTGTTTGCCAGTTGCTGTTTACAAAACAGTGAGTTCTGTAAAAAAGCAGAATCAGAGCCTGTCTATAGGAACAGTTAGTTTGTGGCAAGCTGGGATGTAAAGCTGACATGCACTAATTGTCTGTGTGGCCTCTGGTACATGCACTCACAATTCCGTAGTGTGCTTTGATCTGCACCACTTTGAAATGGGAATAGATCTATGTACACCAGGGAACTTTCAGTGCACGGCAGCAGGGTGCACACAGCAGGCTAGTGCAAGGTGGATTTACACCCTAGCCTGCCGTGCACTAACTGTTCCTATAGACAAGCCAACGTAAAGCAAGGTGCCCACTGCCTTAGGGAGCAGCCCCTCTCTGGTTTGTTTCTTGTGTGTTATGGTTCTGGATTCTAAGAAGTAAAGTCCTGTTTGTGACATGCCCTAGGGTACAGTCTGGACTGTTGAACTGCTGTGTCCCTTTAACTCTCCAGCCCAGGATGCCTGTTACACGGCTTTGCTAGTGAAAAGCTGCCTCTCTTGGCTCTGCTCACACACAGCCATTAGCATGTAAAGTCACTCCCAGAAAAGTTACATGAATGCTTTCCCACCCACTTATGAACTACATAACATACAGGGTAACACTCGCAAATTCCCCAGCCTTGTACCTGGAAATGTGCATCCTGTAGTGTCCAGCACACTACTGAACAATCTTTAATAGTCAGTCATTTCATCAAAGGAAATGATTCTGCTGGGGTGTTTGTTAACCTGAGTACAGATTTCCCAAACACTTCAACCAAAACACACTGGTTAAGGTAAAACAATAAAAAAGTTTATTAACTAGAGAATGGTAGATTTTAAGTGATAATAAGTGATAAGGCATAAAGGTCAGAATTGGTTACAAAAGAAATAAAAAATAAAACCAAAAACTAATTCCTAAACTTTACCAAGCTAAGTAAGATTTGGAAGCAAAAAGGTTTCTCACATCCAAAAACTTACTGAAGTCCATACAAAGTGGAAAGCCTTCCAGCTAGGACCAACTCTTCTAAGCCTCCTCCTCCCCCCCCCTCCACCACACACAGTTCAATGATGCTCCTATTGACTTTCAAGCAATCCTATGGCTGTGAGTAGAGATGGGGGAGGAGAGGTAATGTGAAGATCACTGTCTATGATTTTATACTCTCCTCCTCTCTTCGAGGATTACTCCCCACTGGGGTATAGACAAAACAGTCCCCTGTGTATGTGAGATTCAAAGAGTCTATCAGGAGAACTGTAAATTTCTTGTTCGCACCATCTGTGTACGTGACGTTTGAGATGTCACTGGGGACGATATGCAAATTCTTTGTTTACAGTCCCCCTGATGGCAAATGATTGCCTCAGCAGTTAAGAGCTTTCCATCACCTGCCATCAGTTCTTTGTTGTTTCACAGGATCTAGTCTGTGGACATTTCCCAGAATTACAATATATTTCACTAACATAGTAAAATCTCATAGATCCACATACAATGCTAACATACACATTTTAACAGAACAGTGATGTTCCTTGAATTATGAATTTTCAAAATATACCTCACAAGCCATACTTTGTACAAAATATATCATAACCATATAACTGTGGTGAACATGGGGGTTCAGGGTGTTATATGGGGCACAGTGTGTCACAGTGTTACGTGTAGCACATTGCGATGAGTTGTGCCCGATGTCTTAGGGACTCCATTGTGGGGTTCTTGTGGATTAAGGTTCTGGATTCTAAGGGATACAGTTGTGTTACGCTGCAACCTTCCAGCCAGAGTATTTATGTTTGTATCTAACCTCTCTGTGTGTCCTGTGAGGACCACAGTTCTCAGTGTGGGGAGGGAGGGAACTCTCCTTTCTTCTCAATGAGAGCTGCTGGGTGCTCTGTATTTATGAAAATTTAGCCAATTAAGTCATTTTTCCTGACTAGCACAAGAGAGCCCTGGATATGGTCTGAGCATTGATACCCCTTAGATTACACTGAAAATACCACATCAGTATAAAAGCTGCACTCTGTGCCCCATACTGCGGTTGAGACTCTGGCAAAACTCCAATCATCTTAAATGAGAGTTTTGCCCAAGTCATAACTGAGGATCGGGTCATAAATTGTGCTTAATTGCACAGAAGGCCATAAACAGAGAGCTCCACAGCCAGCATCGGCCATGAATGTACATTGTGTTTTTTTATATCACAGTCACACAATGGGATGGATCCTACCTTCCCTGCATAACCAGGCTGATGAGAGTTTTGGCAGTGCTAACAATAAAGGATAAGGCCCAATACATGCAGAAAGAAACTTTTAGCTAAAAGCATCTTAATTTTTAGGAAAAAGGTTCATATTTTTTTGTATTATTATCTACCAAATAACTCTTAATACAGAATTAGTAGTTCATCACTATAATAATAACAATGTTGCATATGTTAATCACTATTCATCTGAGATCTCATAGTGCTGCACTGCTGATAAGTTTATGGTAAGCCCGGTATCAAATTATTGTTGTGTTCACAGCATACCCACAGAGAGTGAGAAACAAAACACATACTCTTCCTGGAAGGTTGCAATGTAACGCTGCTTTATTCCCAAGAATCCAGAACTCTAACACACAACAGCCAAATACAGAGAGAGACAAAGCAGGCTGCTCCCTGAGGCAGGGAGGCAGAACATAGCCCACCTGGCTCTGTGCAGAGTGACTGCAGTGGACCCACATTGCATGCTCCTTACAGAGCCCCCTAGCCTGCAAGCAGCACCAGAAAACCCCTCAGGATTCAGAGGGACAATTTGTAATTTCTACAGTTTTCAATACACCACACTAATCACATAGCAAGGACCCTATCGTCAGCATCGCCCCAGGGCCCAGGGAAGAGGAATCTGGAGGAATTTTTAATCTGACTCTCCAGGCTCAAGTTTTGTTTGTATTAAAATCCTGCAATAACATATTTTGGGCCAGACTCTCTCATGTGGCTGAGCCCCTCTGAGCACAGGGGAGATGGGGGTTTCAGGGAGCTGGTCACAACTCTCTGATTCAGGGGGCCATTCTGCACTGGCTGCAGCTTGGGGATCAGTTAAAGCAGCCTAGAAAATACTTCAATTTATGCCAGTGGGGGATTGATGTAACACAGCAGAGCTCCATCCTGTCCCTACCCCCTCCCTACCTCCAACATGCCCCCTCCCATTAATGAACCTTGATCAGTAAGAAGAATAAAGCCTGGACTTTCATTAACTCAATAATAAAGCACAAAGGAGCCACATCTCACAGTGTATTTCCCTGTGAGAATCTTTTAACTAATCACAGTGTCACCACTGTCACAGTGTCCTGCCTTCATTCTGCACTTGTTTGCTCCCAAATCAATGGCACTTTCTCTTGCAGAGCTGTTTTTCCCAAGGGTCAATCCCTCGAAAGTGGCTCTCTGGGTGATCCTGGCTCTCCTGGCTGTTCTCATGGCCCTGGCTGGTTACTGCTTCTGGAGGGGACACAGAGCAACAGGTGAAGTAACGAGAGGGGGGAATTTGGGGTGGAGGGAGAGAGAAAAATGAAAAACAAAAGTAAAGATACCAGGATTAAGGGGCTTTGATTCCATGTTCAGAAGAGTTTCAGGCAATGGGATTCAGGAGGAGGGTGAACGATGACTTCACATTTGAGCTGGGAAGTGTCAAATGGCTTCACCCCTTCAACGCTCACTGAAGGATCCCAATCGAATGGGATTCTGAACCATTCCGCAGGGATCAGCTCTGCTTACATTGAAACACCCGTGTGGGGCTCAGTGAGCTGGGCTTGGAGCTCTAACATTTGTAACTTGGCAAGAAAAAACTAATAGAAAGTAGGAGGAGAGAGGGGATTTCTTCGGTTCCAGTATTGCCACCCCCCAACCCCCAGTCTGTGCATGCCCCTCCCCTGCCCCATCTAGATGAGTAGGAGCTGCGAATGGGAAAGTAGTGATAATGGAGAGGTTAGCAATTACCTTATCTACAGTGTGATCATGTGCCAGCGCTTAGAGAGAGCTCTCCCCGCGCTCTAGGAAAACCACTCCATGAGAGGCGTAGCTCCCAGTGCTGGGAGCCTGTCTACACTGGCAAGTTACTGCCCTGAAACTTGCTGTGCTCAGCCTGAGTGTGGATCGACACGGCACACTTCTGTCGGTATAACTACATCCCTCGCTCGGGGGTGTGGGAAACCCTCACCCATGAGCAACTCAGTGATCCTGACCTAGCTCTTAGGGAGGTGGAGTACCTACCCCAATGGAAGACACTCTCCTGTCAGCGTAGGTAGCATCTCCACTAAGCACTCCAGTGGCGCATCTGCACTGGTGCAGCTGCAATGCTGTAGGTGTAGACAAGCCCTGAGATCCTGCTACAGGGACAGGGCAATAAACTTTCTATTGTAGTACAAGTGCTCAGCTGTAGGTTTTCCTCTGATCACAAGGGGCAGAAATTGGCCTTCAGTTATCTGGCCATTTCTAGCAGTGCTGGGTTTTCAAAGCTTCCTAAGGGATCTGAATACTCAATTTTTGTTTAAATTAATGGGCACCAAGTGTGCAACTTCCGAAGGCAGCTGTGAAAGTCCCAGGCAGGGTTTTCTCGCCTGAAGTACTGTGTGAAGAATTTGGAAGGGGAAACATCTGTTACAATGAATTCCCAATGCGGACAGAAGCAGGTAATTGAGAAAAGCAGAAAGGAGCTGTGCTTTGTACTTGTGAAAGCTGGAACTGGGTGTTATACCTTTATAACTGTCACCTGTAAACCTTCTGCCTGTTGGAACTGGCAGCAACAAGGGCCGGGTTGAATATCTAGGGGTTTCTCTTCAACAATGCATCACAAAACCAGCTTGAGCCCCCACCCAGTAACCTGGGACAATTACACACACACCCTTGGCACCTCTGAGAGGCAATACTTCTCCTCTTGCAAGCACAAAGTCTCAGTGTAGAAAGAAACTTTTAATAAAAGAAGGGAAATAACCCACCATTAATTTGGGGAAACACTGCAAACAGGGTTCATAAACATAAACCATGAGCCAAAGACCCACCACCAAGTAAGTTGGGCAGAGTTCTTTTCCCTCAGGTTCTTAAGTCCAGCAACCAAAAGTCCCTTTAATGTGCCTGTCCCTTCTCTGCACCCCACTCACAGTTGTTGTCCTTGGGTCAGTGCAGACCCAGAGTCCAGAGATGCATCTGCAGAGTTCACTTCTCACCCAGGCACATTACTAGCTCCACTACCCAGGCACTTGCTTGCCACTCCTCTTCACCAGCCACTGTGCTGGCTGATCACTGTGCCTCTTTGCCAGCTACCCTGCAAGATAATTTGCATTCTGCTTCTCTTCCCCAACCACCCTATCACAAGATCTCCCCACCAGCCAATCTGCTGGCCAATTGATACACCAATCCATTAGGCTGTCCTCCCCACATAGTGCAGCTCTCACAATTTCACCTGTTAGAATGTGGGAACCCCATTGTGGGCACACACTAGGCAATTTCTCACATCAGAGATGCTATCCCAAAGCAAATCTAACACTTAAAACTAAATATCAGTGACTTAAGCTCTGGGCTGTATAACAAAACTCTCAATTAAACCCAAATTAACTTTGCTATAAACCGGTAGAAGGAAAGAATCAAATAATTAGCTAGCTGGCTGACTAGCTAGTTGGTCTCACTAGGTTTTGGAGCCCATGTCCCCTGACTAGTGAGTCTCATTTCATTGAGAGTAAGTCCCTCAATCAGACAATGCCAAGTACAGTTCTGCAGCCCTGGATTCACACACCAAGGATAACAATTATTTATTACCCCTGTCCCAATTACAAGGAGACTGGGGAATCACACACCAGCCAAAAGTGATCATTTGGGCAAGCAATCCCATCATGCTGAGCACCTAGGCACAGTGGGTGTGCCCATGCAAACGAGATTAGCTCCTGACATCCTCTTCCTCAACTCACCACTAGATGTCAGGGGAGAGCTCATTCAGGCTAAGTCTACACTAAAAACCTCAAACTGCAGCCGTGGCAGTGCTCCCGTGGAAGTGCTTTGATCTGACAGTATGGTCACCTGCGAGTGCTTGAGAGAGAGCTCTCCCAGCGCTCTATGTAATCCACCTCCACAAGGGGAATAGCTCCCAGTGCTCGGAGCCTGTCTTCACTGGCACTTTACAGCGCTCAAACTTGCTGCGCTCGGGGTGGGGTGTGTTTTTTCACACCCCTGAGCCAGCAAGTCACTGCGCTGTAACTTGCCATTGTAGACAGGCTCTCAGACACTGCTTACACACCCTGTCACCACCAGGTGTGAACTGGTTTAATTTGTGGTTTTAACAGCTACATTATGTGGGCTGAGTCCAGGTTAGGTGGCACAATTTAGTGGGATTTCAGGTGATCAAGGAAGGAAAAGAGGGAAAACGTTCCCTTTCCCTGAGTGTGGCTCCTTGTGGTTGGAGTAGCGAGGCCTAGTAGCCAGAGATCTGGGACATGCCCTTGCTCTCAGGGCAGAGCAGCCCTATGGCCAGAATCTATGTAGTTGCTCTTGCCCTTAAGGCAGTGAGGCCCCATGGCCAGAGTCAATATGGCTGCCCCTGTCCTTAGGGGATCGAGGTCTAGCAGAGTCAATCAATTCGGGGCTGTAACACCCAGTTGCTCTAGCCTTCAGTAGCAGTGCCCAATAGTCACCATCTCAGGCAGTAGTACCCAATATCTCTTGGGTGGCCATTGCACCCCATGGCAGGTGCAGGAAAGGGTAGGGGGATCCAGGTTCACCCTACTCCCCTGGGTCCCAACCCAGGACCCTGTAAAACCAGTAGCTCTGCTTTCAGGTTCAGGTTCCAACCTCAAATGCTCTTCCTGGGCTGCTTCCCACCCATGATTCCAGCTCTGGCATTTCCTCCCCTGGCAGTGGCTGTCTATCTTCCTCTGTCTCCGCGGTCAACCAGGGTCCTGCCAGGGACTCAGCGTCTTCAGCCTCCACAGTCTGCAGCTCTAGCAGCTTCCTAGCAGGAGCTCAGAGTGTGCGTATGCTCTCTTCCTCTGTCAGCCCAGACTGGGCTGAACTGCTCCCTTGTATATCCAGCGTCCAGTTGGAGCGTGTCCAGGAGGAGTGAGGAAGCATGACCTCTTGCACCCAGAGGCCATATACAACCCTTGTTGGGCCAGTACAGGGTTGATATGCCCCATCACACAGGGATTCACTCATTTTCAGTCATATGTAAAATGTATCTATGTGTCCAGGGAGAATTAGATTGGGCTAATTTCCAACCACTAAAAAATCAGAACAAGTAACTGTCACTGACTTGTTCTCTGGGCCTTTCAGAGAATAATCCCACCAGCTGCACTGGTGAGCTGTGGCTAGGATGCTGTAATAACACAAACACACCCAGGACTTGCACAGCTGTTCTGAGATGTTGCTCACTCTGGGTCACAAGATGGTCTAGCTCAGGTTGTGCTCAGCAGTGACTGGCAGATATGACGCTACCTCCATTTCAAGCAGTGTTGGTACCCCAGGGCTGACGCACCAAGGGGACAAGCTCCCAGTGGGAAAGAGCTGATCTTAGAGGCAATGCCTGTAGGGGTACATACACACCTCACTCCCTGGCTCATGCTGACTTGAGCACCCAGCTAAAGAAAGGTCTCTCTACCCTGTTCTTAGTTGGGGCACTCCCATCTACTCAGGCCCTAGGAGAAGCTGTTCCCAGGTAAGGCTAAGATCAGGGGGCAGACTAGGATGCAGACAGCCAGTTCCTGTCCCTTATCCAGCTCAGGTCAATGCCCCATTCCCATCCTTCACTTCCCTCCCCCATCCCCACAGTCAGGAGCTGGGGAGAGCTGGGGCTTTTCAGGGGATGGGCACAGAGGGGAGCAGACAGGGAACTGGATAAAAAAAAAGAGACCCTTGTCAGAGAATAACAGAGTTCTCACTCTTTTGATTGGGTACAGCAAAGTCAGATACTTTATTTTCTCAAGCAATTGCATAGAGGGAGAGAGTGCACTAGGACATAGGGGTTTCCCCTCCTAGGCAGGTCTCTCCACAGGTAAACAATTACAGCAAGCATTTATACCTTTTGTTATAGACAATAATAAGCAACAGCTGCATTTTGTTTATACATAGGTCATCCTGATATCTTAATTTTCTCACTTATTTAGACTCTAGTCTACCATATTGGCTACAAGTTATCTACACAAGGTCGCAACAACTTCTCACACAGTTCTTTTCCACTCGCCTCACACAATCCTCACTTCTACAAATCTCGCGTTATTAGGGTTACAGTTAGCCTGACTCTTGCTAACAAAGACTGTTTGCATTTGAAATTCCCTTCCAATTCCTGTCAGGCCTTGCTCTGCTTCCACAACTCCCCGTTTTGTACTACTAGAACAACAAACATTCTCAAATCTTTATTTGCATTAAGTCTTGGAATTCAGATTCTACCTCAGATGCTTCAACCTTAGGGGTTTTGATTGGATGTAATGACAATGCATGATTAGCATGGACATGAAAAGTATTACTATTATTACGTCCT